AAATAATAAGGAGTATAAATAAGGCCACTAGCCTAATAATGATTTTAAATAAGAATTTTACTGCCAATGTTTATATGTTTATTTGCTAAATTTTTCCAATAAAGTCCCAACTCATCTACCTTTTAATATAGGGCTATTTTCAAATTCTATAGCAATATATTAGTATCTTATATTTTAGTAAAATAATCTTTGTATTTATTAAATTCAGTATATAGCATATAACACACTAAAATATAATAAGATGGTTATTAAACATCAGGCTTTGAAGGCAGACTATCTCTAGTCTGCTTCTTACCAAATACATGACCTCAAGCAAGTAACTAGCTTACTCTCTCTGCCCCATTTTCCCATAGGGTTGCTGCACCAATATATGTAAAGTGCTTAGAACAGTGCCTGGCATTTAATAAATAAGAAAGCACACCATAAATGCCATCTACTTTAATTACATAATCATTATTTGTATGGGGAAAAAGCACCTCATCTTAGATAACTCGTTACAAATCATGATAATATTAAAAATTTAATTTACTTTATCAATGAACTAAAACATTTAGGAAAGTCTGGGTTAATATCTTATTAAGCAGCCTCAGTGTTTATGCTGTATCTACCCTAGTCACAAGTCCAATTTTTCCAAATCTGACTCACCATTAGTTCCTCCCCTGACTCAACACATAGAAAGGTAGACAGTCTGGAATATAATGGGCATACCAAAAGGCATTTCTTAATCTACCTAGATTTATAAGGTTTATTTACTATGTGTAACGTGTCCTATATAATGTTCAGCAAATATGCTGAATAATTATGACTTAAATTTTGTTCACTTAAAAGTGCTTTCTAATCATCAAATGTTCCTTCAACCTATGGAGTAGGTATTAAAACCCCACCTTGACAGAAAAACAACATATCACTTAAGTAAAATCAAAGATCCACATTTTCTGACTGCTAGCCAAAAACAGATTTATATTTTGTTGATGGCCTGGTATTCAAAATTTTGACAAGCAAACTATAGACTAGAGAGTTGAAGCAATCTCTGAGCCTACAAATTTGGCCTTAAGTTCTATTCAATTCCACACTTTCACTGTTTTCCCCATTTAGATGTTTAAATTATTTAAGATAACCTCTAATAAAAATTCATTTTTAAAAAGTCTAGAGAAATAAGCTAAATAATGAAGGCAGGTTAATTCTTTAAAATTCCCCTTCCCTAGGCACACCACACCACACACACACAAAAAATTTTAAATATTGCTCTATCATTTATTCACTTTTCATGTGATCCTGAGTCATTCTAAACTCTCTAAGCCTCCATTTTCTCCTCTAGAAATGGGGATAAAAAGAGTAAATATAACTACCACATGGGGTTGCTGTGAGCATTAATTAAGACACATAAAGTACATTAGCCAACCACTATGAAATCAAGTTTCAATATATGTTAATTTTTCTAATTTAAATCAAAACCTCAGTGTCATTTGAGTTCTACTTATTGAGAGTTTATTTTCTATGGTAGCCATCTCTTTTAACCCATTCATGCAAACCTATTCAATAGCAGTAACTTTATAAGCACTGAAAACAGGGGTATATAACTATCTAGGAAGCCTCCCTCAACTACACTCCTCCCTCCTTGAATTATGTACCCTGCTCAGGAAATAGGCTGTACTTTAACACTGTACTTAACATATTTGCCTTTATTACTTGAGAGTCCCTTGTGGGCAAGGCCTGTGTCCTATTCATCTCTGTGCCCCAGACTGCAGTCCAATAGTTCTTAACCCTGACTCACATTAGAATCACATGGGGAGCTTATCAAAATATTATTGCCTGGGATCCATCCCAAACCCACTAAATCATAAGGGGGTCAGGGAGGAAAAGGGCAAGAGTAATCAGTACGGGGGAGTATTTTTTTTAAGATCCTCACGTGATATTAAATGTGCTGCCACAGTGAAGAACCACTGCACTCTGACATTTAAAATACTAGACAAACAGGTATGCACACATGTCTGTATGATTATATAGGTAAAGAAACACAAGCCTTAGCTCAAGACCCTCATCTTCAATAGCCTCTCTCAGCCCAATCAAGTATTCCCTTTAAATACACATTATTTCTAACAAACAATTCGTTACGAGCTATTAAGATGGCTTTCAGACTAACTCAGCTCTTGAGTTTTTTCATGTAATTATGCCTTAGCCTTCTTCCTAGAGTCCAGTCTTGCTCCTTATTTTCTCCACAGTGCTTACCATAGTATCTTGAACACAAACATGTAGCAAACATTTGACTGATCTAATAAACATATACAATAATTACTGGCAGGAACTATGTCACATCCAATATCCAATATGGGCTATCCCCCTCCCAAAAATAAAAGAATAAAAATTTAGAAAAAAGCTTTTTAAAAATCTCTAACTTTGTAAATGAGATCTAAAGTTTATCTCACTAATAAGCATCTGTGTGTTTGCACTTTTTATTGCAGTCATCAGATGCAGTATCCACCCAGTGTTTTACCCTTACCCACTTTCAGTTCTTGACCTGCTTCCTTCCTAAAACTATCTCCTAGTTGCTTCTAGTATCTTTAGCTGCTGTCAGGTGCCTTTGCAACAATTTTATAATACTCAGTAATTAGTAAAATAAGTTAATGAAAGTTACAATGAATGTGTCACACATATGTTTAATAAACACTTCCTGCAGGAGTTTACTGCTTATCAATCACCAAAACAGGCTTTTTGCATACAAATTACATGCTAATCTAATATAAACTTGGTTGGTTATAGGGTCTGAAAATAAGTCTTACTCAACATTATAGATAATACAAGTCTACTTTTGAATATTGACAGATTGATGGTTTTCTGCTTTTATAATATTTTAATACCTGAAAATTTTGTAAAATATTACATGACTTTTTAAAACAGGAGTGCTAAGTAGTATTACAAGAAGCTGCACAGCAACTGGCCTTCTCAATTCTGAAACTATTAACAGAAAAAAATGGCACACAATTCTAAAAAAGCAACCAAAAGATATTTATGAAAATGGTTCCCCTTCAAGGTTTTGAGTCACATATTTTACCACTAATAAAATAATCTGAAAGACTTAAGTTGTCTTTTAAAAAATTGAAAGTATGGGGAGGAGGCACTCAAGAAGCATGCCTGCTAATTAGATACGATGGTAAAACATTACCATGTTTTGTTGGGTCCTACAGCATGAAACAGAGCCATAGTAACCACAAAAAGAAAGCAGTCCTCAATTCCCTATTCAATAAAAAAGGTTCAAATTCCACAGACAAAAAATGGTACCCTGGGTTGTTTGTTTTTAAGGAAGATTAAATTTAGGAGTTGCCAACACCCAAATGAAAAACATTCCAGAGTATTAGACTCAATTGTAGTGGGGAGTCATCTACATTCTCAGCACTATGTTCCTTACCCAAAGCATAAGTATTAACAAAGGATGTTTCTTAGGATCTTACAAGATACACCATACTTATTTCCCTCAATAAACATTACCCTTGTTAAAAAAAAAAAAAAAAGTACTTGAGAAATAACAATTTTAGCACAAGCAGCCAGCCAAATAATGAAGTTTAACATCTGCCAATGTAATTTCCCAAATAAGACCCCTGTCAAATGAATAATGAGGAAAAGGCTGAAAATGACAAATTCTTTTATTTGGACCATCAGCTACTTTTAAAAATAAAGTTGTGGAATGTAGTTTTTCCAAAGCCTTGTCTTCAGTTTCCCCTTAATCTTCATATTTTTAACTAAACAAACAAAAAAAACCCTAGAAATTTGATTACCACTCTTAGAATTCCTTCTAGAGCAATTTAATGAATAACAGATCTTTTGTGCAAGTAGCAAACCACAGAGGACCGTTTTGCTGGCTGATAAAAATCTCTGAAACACTCATAAAAATATACTCTTCAAAGACAAACTGATTTTCCAGGTATGGAAATCATATTAAGACTTATAAATTTGGGTATGTTTGATATACACCCTAACTTACTGCCAATGCTTTTACTTGAACCACAATTAAATTCTTACAATTTTCTTGGTGTCGAAGTTGAATAAATTGAAGACCAGAAGCATAAAAAAACAAAAAGTCAAACATAAAGAGCCAATGAGAAAAAGATGCAACTAACTGCTTTGGGTGAAACAAGGTTGTTGAATCACTTCCCAAAACCGGTGAGCTACTATTAAAGTAACCAAACTTGTTTAGGTTTGTTTTGTTTTGTTGAGGATAAAGTGGTGCAGTTATACACGAGGTAAAAATGTTTCACCACTCTAATAGGAAGATGCTACTGCCTGCAGAAATGTTTTGAGACTGCTAAAACAAACAAGCAAACAAAAAAAAAAAACACCCTACCACAAATGTATTCCAGGGCACACAAATATGAGAGATCGTCTTAAAAAAATTGTGCATTGTTACAGCGTTCCTATTGTCCTAAATATCACTTACACTGAGAAAAAAACTATATATATGTGTGTGGTTTGTATATGAAATAGGGCATAGATTCATTTGGATATACTCATCTTGGGTTCACTGAACGATGAAGCTGTCTTGGATAGTGCTAAGACCACTTTTCCTTTACAGGTGCTATTAAACACTGTTAAAGAGAGGAGATCAACAATCTGATAACTTGAGCCTGGCCCGTAGGAAACTAGAGTATGCCGTCATCACCATTAATCAATTTTTCTAACTGACCAAGCATAAAAAAAACAAGTCTGAGTGAGCAAGTTCTTGAGCCAGGAGTTGTCTTTCCACCGCTGTAAAAATGTATCCTGAGCCTGAGACCTTAGCCAGGAAGCTTGAAAAGCACGTGTGCTGCTTTGGGTTTGGGGAACTTCCCAGGAAGCATTTGCTCAAGAGTAAAACTCCATCACCCTCTGCCTGCCTGAAAGGATAAGCTGCAGGAGCTACAGCGGGAAAACTCTGGGCCCGGGAGACCCGAGAGCTCCCAGGAGCAAGACGCCGGGAGGCAGCAGCCCCCACCCCCAGGTCCGGCCGCCGCCCCCGCCCGGCTCACCTCCGCCGCGGGGATGTTGACCACGCCAGTGGAGCGCCGCTTCTCCCGCAGCTTCCTCTTCTCGATCTGCCCCTT